GAGAGAGAGAGAGAGAGAGAGAGAGAGAGAGAGAGAGAGAGACTGAGAGACTGCTTCTTGAGCAAAGGGACCCAGGCCCCAATTGGTGCCTCATTGCTAGTACCAAGTCTGTGGGTGGAAGTCAGTGAGCTGATTTGGCAGGAGGCCCTCACATGAGTGGAGAGAGAGAAGGAGCGTAGGCATGGACCCAAAGCAGATACTCAGGCGGAGCCCAGCAATTGAGAGATTGTTGAAGGACTATGGTCTATGATTGATCAAAGCTGGATTTGGGCGCGCCATGAGGATGGAGGAGAGGCTGGAGGAGAGGCTGGAGAGTGGAATGGAGCTAATACTGTGCAGGCTTGAAGATTAGGAAGCAGGAGGGGGAGGAGCCAACCCACCTCTGGAACCAGGAGGGAACCCTAAACTCGTCAAAACTGAGAGAAGAATTCAGAGCCGGGCTGGTTGGGCAGAACCGGATAAGATAAGCTAGTCATAGTTTGCCTGATTTTCTGCATTCCCCCCCCCGCCCCGCTGCAGCTTGAATGTTCGTGAAGGGGATATGCTGACACTATTCGATGGGGACGGTCCCAGCGCTCGAGTCCTGGCCCAGCTGCGGGGACCTCAGCCGCGCCGCCGTCTCCTCTCCTCCGGACCCGACCTCACTCTACAGTTTCAGGCACCTCCCGGGCCCCCAAATCCGGGTCTAGGCCAGGGCTTCGTATTACATTTCAAAGGTATGGAAGGCGAGGGCTCTGGATGGTCAGGGGTCTGGCAGGGAGTGGGCACCAGGACGAGCCCCCCTGAGGCTGAAAGGCCACCCCATCTTCACTACAGAGGTCCCGAGGAATGATACATGCCCAGAGCTGCCGCCTCCTGAGTGGGGCTGGAGGACGGCATCCCACGGGGACCTTATCCGGGGCACAGTGCTCACTTACCAGTGTGAGCCTGGCTACGAACTGCTGGGATCAGACATCCTCACTTGCCAATGGGACCTGTCCTGGAGCGCGGCTCCACCTGCTTGCCAAAAGAGTAAGTAGGGCCCCACCCCTAAGCCTGTTCTCGGTCTCCGGTCTCCGACTTCGCCCTTTCCTGTCCCCTCCTTTAGTTCAGTCTGTTTTCTTCCCTTTCATCCTGCGCTCAATCTTCTTTTCATCATGGCCCAAGTCCCTTCCATTCCACCCCTGCCAGGGTTGAGTCCCACCCCTACCAGGTTTCACCAAATTGCACCTGGGCTCCTCCCCCTCATCAACTCTTAGCTCTCTCCTAAACACCCCAAACTCTCAGTTCCCGAAAGCTGACACTGTCAGTGGGTTTGATCTGTTTCAATGCAGTCACTGGAGCTCAGTGATAGGACCAGTTCCTCACTGTTTCCCACCCTGGTGGTCTCAAGCCTGGAAGGGAGAGAGACAGTAGGCAGCTAGGCATGTTACACAGTGGTAAGCAGGGGTGACCTGGGATGAAGTACTGACATCTCTGAACTTCGGCTTTCCCGTGAATGAAGTAGGATTAGAGGATTGTACAGAACAGAAGCAGCTTTTCCCACAGTGCCTGGTACCTGTCAGCAGTGGAGTCACACACTGAGCATGCGGCAGCATGCTAGCAAGATTACGGCTTCATTCACCTAGGAAGGAGACAGATTACTTCAGAGGAGTATTTATTTTTTGTATGATATTTAAAGGAGCTTGGAAGCTTTGTTTATTTATCTTTTTCAAAAGGCTGGACACAGTGGCACACACTTGTAATCCCAGTACTTGGAAAGCTGAGGCAGAATGATCATGAGTTCAAAGCTAACCCTGTCTGAAACACCCAAGGACTGGGGGTGTAGCTCAGTGGCAAAGTACTTACTTGGTAAACAAAACGTAAAACAGACTTAAAAAAAAAAAAAAAAAAGGCGGAGCCAGATGTCGTGGTGACTCTCTGCACTCCCAGGACTCAGGAGGCCGAAGCAGAGGATTTCCATTCATTCAAGGCCAGCCAGGGCTAATTATTAGCAAAACCCGTCTCAAAAAATAAAAACTAAAAATAAATAAATAAATAAATAAAAACATAAACAGCAGAAAGAAATAGCATCTTGTTACTTAAATTTGTAGAAATTGACATAGCGATTGGTTGTAGTTCTTTTTTTTCTTTTTCCCCAGTTTGTTTTTGAGATAGGTTTTCTCTGTGTAGCCTTGGCTGTCCTGGAACTCCATCTGTGGATCATACTGGCCTTGGACTCAGAGATCCCACTGCTTCTGCCTCCTCAGTGCTGGGTTTAAAGGTGTGCACCACCATTGTAGTTCTTGCAAATGGCCCCAGGGAAAGGAAACAATGGTGGGGTCAGTGGGGAGCAATTTCAGAAAGCCAGATTTGGGCTGGGAACAAGGAACATTGTATAACTGACACAGCACTTGATTCCTGGGAGGATTCACTGAATTCTGGACCTGAGTGGGCTAAGCATTCAGGTTGTCTAACCAAGGCTGGCTACACTTGAGTCCGATGCTGAGGGGAGACTCAAGTCTCAGGATCTATCCAGTGCTCCATGGCTATGATCCTGGCAGGTTCCAGCTTGGCTAAGTGCCAAGCTCTGGGCCACAAGAGAGACGGCAGTGACACTGATCTCTTGGGATAATCAGGATTAAATATCTATCAGACTGCCTAGCACAGGTTTATAGGATTCAAAGACCATGGAGCTGGAGAGATAGCTCAGATGCCACACAAGCATCAGGATTGAACCCGGTCCCCTGAACCCACGTAAAAGCCAGGTGTGGAGGCACACATGCCTGTAACCCCCCAGTGGTGGGGCTGTAGAGGATCACTGGAGCTTACTGGCTAGACAGTTCAGCTGGATAGTGAGCTCCAGGTTCAGCAAAAGGCCCTGTCTCAGGATATAAGTTTAGAGTAATAGAAGACACTCACTGTCATCCCGGGCCTCTACATGCACATACGTGAACACATATGAACACATATGATACCCACTCACAGAGGCCATGATTATGACCTTCTACAGTAGCACCAGGAATAAAAGTGCAGGCCGTATATGTAAGCAAAGTGCACTAGGCACCATGCTCTCTCTTGAGACACCAGCTCGATGATCTGCCACGACAGGGACAGTGCTGGGTTTCAGTTTATGTGCTCTCAATTAATAATTAAATATTTTGAATTTTACCCAAAGACAGGGGCCAAGTTCTCGGGGAGTAGGGAGATCTCATTATAGATCTAGGCCAGGGTGTCTGTTCTGGAACTTGCTATGTAGCCCAGGCAGGTTTGGAGCTTCCTTTAGTCCCAAAGTGGTAGAATTACAGGCATTGCACCATCACATTTGGCAAATTCATTGACTTTGAAGTGTTTCTGACTCACACTGTGTCCATCTAAGGAACTGGAGGAGAAGGTCAAGGCTGTTCTGAGGAAATGGCTGAAGGCTTCAGTCCTTCATAAGCCGTTTCCAGCCAATCCCTCAAGGCCCTTACTTCCCCTAACCTTTCTCTTCTATCGCCAGTCATGACTTGTGCTGACCCTGGTGAGATCACCAATGGCCACCGGACTGCCTCGGATGCCGGTTTTCCTGTCGGCTCCCATGTCCAGTATCGCTGTCTGCCAGGGTATAGCCTGGAGGGAGCCGCTGTGCTCACCTGCTACAGCCGGGACACTGGCACACCCAAGTGGAGCGATCGAGTCCCCAAATGCGCCTGTAAGTTTGGGGGACACCCCAGGAAGGGAAGACCAGGGAACCCAGACTGGCCCTGCGCAGTTTCTAAGGGGGCATGTGGCTGGGGTGCTCCCTGCAGTAAAGTACGAGCCGTGCCTGAACCCTGGTGTTCCCGAGAACGGTTACCAGACACTGTACAAGCATCACTACCAAGCGGGCGAATCTCTGCGTTTCTTCTGCTACGAGGGCTTTGAGCTCATCGGCGAGGTCACCATCACCTGTGTACCCGGTCACCCCTCCCAGTGGACCAGCCAGCCCCCACTCTGCAAAGGTGCCTGGGCAGACAGGGCAGAAGGGGCATTATCAGTATCTGGGGAGTGACTGAGCTAGAAAAGTTGGGTAGAATATTCAAGACCAATGGCTGACCCTGCTGAGTGCCCTAGCACTGTGGGCTCTCATCCTCACAGGCATGACTGGAAAACCTGGGGAGATCTGAGGTTCCATACTTATCAAGGGATATAGTGAGCACCTTGGTTTAGAAGCCCCTTACCCTCTCTGCAAAGGTCTCAGTTTTGCCACCCAGGAGAAATTCTGAAACTGGTTGGCTCAGACTCTCTAGGAAACTTGAATCTTTAGTGGTTTGAAGGAGAACAGACCCCGACCCATCAGTCCCCAAGGCCTCTACACAGCAGGGAAAGACAAGTTTAGATGGAACAGAGAGTAGAAAATCAAGTTGCACAGCCCAGCCCCACCCGGCTCGTCCCCCTCCCCAGTCTCCTTCCCTCTCTGGCTCAGACCCCGTCCCCCTCCCCCTCCTCTCCCTGCAGTGGCCTATGAGGAGCTCCTGGACAACCGAAAACTGGAAGGTCAGTGAGGGTGCAGGTGAAGACCAGGCCTGGCCAGGTTGGGAGGGCAAGGTCAAGGCTGGGGGCAGGAGGCCAGACCCCAGAGGGGTGAGGCCAAGGGTTCAGGGCCCAGGGCAGGAGGCTGGGAGAGCCCAGGAGTGGGTCCAGCCTTGCCTCATTTGCTATCCTTCCTCCCTCCCCAGTGACCCAGACTACAGACCCATCAAGGCAGCTGGAGGGTGGGAACCTTGCTTTGGCCATCCTGTTGCCCCTAGGCTTGGTCATTGTCCTCGGCAGTGGAGTTTACATATACTACACCAAGTAAGTACCCTACTTTTGACTGATGGCCAGGGCAGGTGTCATACCTGGCGTGGGAATCATGTACGGGGATTCAAGGACTCACACATGGTAAGGCCTCTGTCCCCTCTGTTTCCCAGGCTGCAAGGAAAATCTCTCTTTGGCTTCTCGGGTTCACACTCCTACAGTCCCATCACCGTGGAGTCAGATTTCAGCAACCCACTATATGAAGCTGGGGTGAGTCCCTCCCCTCCCCTTGGAATGCCACATCTGTTGGTCTCCCCACAGGACTTTAAAATCTTCTCCCAAAGTATCTGTGGTCTCTTTTGAGAATTTCAAACTCAGTTGCCTACAAAAGTCGTGATGATGGTCAAAGAACTCTGTGTGTGGACAATAGGGCATGGTAAGGACTGCAGCTAACTGGAGAACCAGAGCCCATCTATAGGTTACAGCTCAAACCCATAGTGGGCACTTAGGCCCAATCTCCAAATCTTCCAATTGTTCAAGACATTTCAGAAATTCATATCTTTCTCATTCTGTAATACTATAGGATAACCAAACATAAATAGTAGCTAGAGTCAACCCAGGAAACTTCTGTCTCTGTCTCTGTCTCTCTGTCTCTGTCTCTGTCTCTCTCTCTTTGAGACAGTCTCACTATCTAGCCCTGGCTGGCCTGGAACTCTCAGAGATTTGCCTGCCTCTGTGCCCTGAGTGCTGGGTTTAAAATGTAGACTACCATATCTGACTGGGAATCCTTACTATAAAAAAAAAATTCTAAAAATTTAAAAATTTTAGGTTGTGGTGGCACACACCTTTAAGATCAGCATTTAGGAGGCTGAGGCAGGTGGATCTGTGAGAGTTCTAGGCCAATCTGGTCTACCAGAGTGCATTCCAAGATAGCCAGAGCTACACAGAGAAACCCTGTCTCAAAAAACAAAACCAAAATTAAAATTGTTTTATGTGTATGAGTGTTTGCTTGCCTGCATGTCAGTTTTCCAAGTACGTGAAGTGCCCTCAGATGTTGGAGAGGACGTTAGGTCCCCTGGAATAGGAATTAGACAGTTGTAAGCCACCATGTGAGTGCTATGAATCCAACCTAGGACCTTTGGAAGAGCAGCCAGTGCTTATAACTGCTGAGACATCTCTCCAGCCCCTCTATATTCATTTAAATATGAAGATCCTTGCTGGGCATGGCGGCTCAACTATTTTAATCTAGAGGCAGAAGAAGGCAGATCTCTGAGTTTGAGGCCAGCCTGGTGATCTACCTAAGGAGTTCCAGGACAGCCAGGGCTATATAGTGAGACCCCATCTCAAAATAACATGGTCTTCTGAGAGTGTGTGGTGCTGGAGAGTAAACAGTCCCTAATACACAGTTGGCAAGCTGAAGACATAAGATGGCATCTCTAGTGTCTCACCTTTTTTATTCTGAAACAAGGGTCTTTCTATGTAGACCATGCTGGCCTCAAATCCCCTCCCCCGTCTGCCTCTACCTGCAAGAGCTGGGATTAAAGGCAGCATCATGCCTGGCTCCCCAGTCCTCTCTTATTTTGAGAAAGGGTTTATATTGCCCAGTCTGACCTTGAACTACTTCTGTAGCTCAGGCCTGCCTTGAATTGTGATCTTCTTGCTTCCATCTCCCTAGTAGCCAGAATCACAGGTTGGTACCACCAGACTCAGCTCAAATATTGTCTTCCTCCTCCTTGTGGATGCCTCTTCACCTCCAACTCACTCAAAATTATTTGCTCTGTCTGTTTTCAGGATACACGGGAGTATGAAGTTTCCATCTGAACCCCAAGTCTCAGTCTGCAGGACCCAGGACTTCTCCATTCTCTCCTCATTCTGGGCAGTGAGGAGCATAGGACCTGGTCTCTGGCTCCCTCCCTGCCTGCTGTGTAAATACTCTTCCCATCCCATGAGGGGGCTTTGGCCCTGGAGACCCTACAGTAAATAAACCAGCATCCTGCCACCCAAAGCTGCCTCCTCTTAGTTGCCAAACAAGGGGCCTTCCACCCCCCATCCTACTGACTTCTGGACCAGGGAAGGGAACTCAGCCCCTTGCAACTCCTGGGGCCCCTCCAGCCACGGGCCCCACTCAAGAACTGTCCCCCAGCTCTACTGTCCCCATGGCCATGAAGACTCCCTACCCCCAGATGCTGACTGATGCTGGGCCTCTGAGGGTGAGAAGGATGAAGGGAGAGGTGGGCTGAGCCCCATCCCTTCCCTGTGTCTCCCCACCCACACTCTCTCCACCTTTATTTGCTTCTGAGTTCTTGTTTTTGAGCAATAAACAGAAAGTCACCACTTGTAACTGATTTGGTGAGTCTGGGAAAGTGCGCATCAAGGTGTTGGGGCAATGGTAGGGAGCCCTCTGGAGTGGGTTTGGAAAAATGGATGTTCTCTGGAGGAAAATAGAAATCCAAAACTGGGCAGTGTCCCAGGTGCTGGCCTGGAGTCCAAAAGCCTGGCTTGTACAATGGTGCTCAGCTCTTGGGAGGCAGAGGCAGGCAGAATTTGAGCTCAGCAAGTTCCAAGCCATCAAGAACTACATAGTAAGACTCTGTTTCAAAACAAGCCTGGCTTGAGGCTAAGCCCTGGTACAGGGTTGGTTGGGACAACTTGCTAGATTCCTCCAGCTAGAAGCCACACTGCCCACACCCTTTCACAAATCCAGGAAGTAGTGAGCCTTCCATTCATTTCATGGGCAGTTTCCCCTTTTGAAAATATTTGTATACATTTATGTATTCTGTGTTCTTTCTCCTGATCTTTTGTGGCATATTGCCTCTATTACTGTTTTTAGAGGGTTTTGCTATAGCCCAGACTGGTCTTTTCTTGAATAGGGTCTCACTACTTATTCTTTGGCTGGCCTGGAACTTACTCTATAGACCAGGCTGGCCTCGAACTCACAGAGATCTGACTTCTGCCTCCCAAGTGCTGGGATTAAAGGCATGTATCACTATGTCTTTCTCCAGGGTGGTCTTGAATTTGAAACCCTGCCTCTCAGCCTCTCAAGTACTGAGATTAAAGGTGCATGCCACCATACCCAGCTTCCTGGCATGTTAAACATACCTGCTATTACATGTCTACCAAGAATGCCCCCTTTCCTCTATAATGTTTGATGTACATTATAAGCAGAGTAGAGCCTCTGCCCACTGAATGCTAGGATTACAGGAATTACTGCCATACCTACCTTGCATTGTTTTTTTTTTTTTTAATCCTTGTAAGGGTCTTGTAAAACTGGGGAAATTTATTTCTCACAGATTTTTTTGTTTGTTTAGTTGTTTGCATTTTGTTTGCTTTTTGAGCTAGGGTCTCACTAGGTAGCCCTAGCTGTCCTAAACTCACTATGTAGATTAGGCTGGCCTCAAACTCACAGAGATCCACATGCCTCTGCCTCCCAGGTGCTGGGATTAAAGGTACCATCACCAGGCTACTCAGTTTTCAATTGAAGAAACTAAGGTTGAGAGAGGTGAATGGACTTTCTCAGAGGGGCAAATACATGGCCAAACTGGGCCTGAAACAAACTCCTCAGAGCCTTCTGCATCACCTTCTGTCTGGTAACAAATTAGCATGTTGTCATAAACATGAGACCCCAAAATCTCAGAGCCCAAGGTGACAGCAAAGGCAGCATGAGTGGCCTCCTACATGATGCAGTTAGCCACAAAATGCTAGAGAACGAGTTTGGGTCCAGCAGGTAGCTGACAATTGGATTCCAGGAATACAGTGACATGCACTATGCCCTCTGTAAGAAAGGCACGCCCCCTCCAGAAGCCACTCCGGAACACTCTGATGTGTGTGGGAAGGGAGGATCCCTGGCTCTTTATTAAACGCTTTATCATGAGTAGTGTAATTGTCCAAGGAAGGTAGAGAAGTCCTGCAACTGGTCCAAAGACTTGTTGGTTTCAAAGGTAGCATCGCTGATGACCAGGAGTTCCTCCCAAGATGAGGTGGTTAGCAAGTTGCAAGAGAGGGGCTTTGAGGCTTTCACTGAGGAGCAAAGTGGGGAGGGCAAGAGGCCGAGAGAGCAGCAATAGGGATCATCCTCCAGTTGTCAGGCTGTTGGGGAGGGCTCCCTGGAAGACAGAGCCAACTGCTGATTCTTTTCTCTTAAGGAGTCTGGTTTATCCTTCCTTCACCCCGCCATCCAAGCCATGCACCACCCCTGAATAGAGCCACCATGCTCAACTTCTCTCATAACCCCTCTCTCCAAGGACACATTCACCTACATCCTCATTCCATGTGTTCACTTACAAGTCTATCCATCATCCCTTCCCCATCCTTCCGCTCCATCCACATGCTCACCCATTCATTACTCACCTATCTTCCCACCACTCATCTTTCATCTCCCACTTCTGGAGAGCAGGGGCTTTATTTTGCTCGGTGCTGCACTCCAGGACAGTGCTGCTGGCCATACAGCAAGTGCTCAGTACATGCTCAGTCAACATATCCATTCATCCATTTACCCATGTGCCTCCTATGTCTTCAACTCATTCATCCACTCCCCATCTAACATTTGTCTGCTTTGTGTGTGTGTGTGTGTGTGTGTGTGTGTGTGTGTGTGTGTTCTGCCTGCATGTATGCCTGTACGCCAGAAGAGGGCACCAGATTTCATTACAGATGGTTGTGAGCCACCGCGGTTGCTAGGAATTGAACTCAGGACCTCTGGGAGAGCAGCCAGTGCTGTTAACCTCTGAGCCATCTCTCCAGCCCTTAATTTAAAAATTTATTTATTATTTATCTAGTTATTTTTTTGGGGACAGGGTCTATGTGGCCCTGGCTGACCTTGAACTCACTATGTAGACCAAGTTGTCCTTGAACTCACAGGACTTACCCACTCTGCCTCCAGAGTGCTGAGACTAAAGGTGTGAGCCACCAAGCCTGGCAGGCCCTAGATCATACAAGCTGCTGCTCACAACCTCACTAAGATACCTCCTTGTGCCTTGGGTTATACAATCTTACTGCTTAGACTACTTATATCAGAGCTGTTTTCCTAGAAAATTCTCTTTTTTTTTTCCTTTTTAGACCAGGCTGGCCTCAAACTAATTGAGATCAACCTGCCTCTGCCTCCCCAGTGCTGGGATTAAAGGCGTGAGTCACCACAGCCTGATGAAAGTTCTTTCTTTGAGTGTTACCTTCTTCAGGAAGTTCCATGATACCTTTCCTTCCTCGCCCAGTTGAAGATGAGGCAAAAACAGTCTTACTGTTTTCTCTTCTTAGGTAGCACCCTTCCATATCATGCTGTCATTGCCGTTAACTTGACCTGGCCTAATTCTAAACTGAATTTTGCTGAGAATGGCAAATTAAATGGCACACCTTTAATCCTAGCACTGAGGAGGCAGAGGCAGGCAGATCATTTTGAGTTCAAGGTCAGCCTGGTCTACATAGCAAATGTCAGGTCAAGTAAGCTACATAGTGAGACCCTATCACAAACCAACAAACCTCTGAATTCTTCAAGGGCTGAGTCTATATTATAGTGCATTCTGTGTGTCCCAAACTTCTAACATGGGGAGGGGCACATAGTGGAAACTGGAAATGTTGAAACTGAATGACCTTATACAAACCTTTTCACGAGGAGATGGTAGAAGGTGTGCCTTGCTGCGGGTTCGATTTCTGTCAGAGCTGGAGATGGCAGAAGAAGAAAGAAAGCTGAGCATGGTAATCTGCAGGATCAAAACTCCCTGTACTTAGCTGAGTGTTGGTGGCGCACACCTTTAATCTCAGCGCTCGGGAGGCAGGGGCAGGCGGATCTCTGTGAGTTCGAGACCAGCCTGGTCTACAAGAGCTAGTTCCATGGCAGCCTCCAAAGCCACAGAGAAACCCTGTCTCCAAAAAAAACCAAAAACAAAAACAAAAACAAAAAAACAAATTCCCCGTACCCTGCTGGGATGTTATAAACCCTTGCTCTCATCCACAAGCTCCTCACCCTTCTCCCAGGGCAGAGCCTCATTTACCGTGTATCTGTGCCGCGGGATTTGTTGAAGAACACTGGAAATAGAGGCTCCAGTTAGAGAAGGGACTTTCCCCATGGTTAGAAAGAGCTGTGGCTAGAGTGAATGGGGGCAAGGGACTCCTGGCTAGCAACAATGAGTGGGTTACAGGGTAGGGAGCACTGTGCCTAGGACTGGCACTGAGGAGGAAAAATGGGCAGATTCCTGGGGAGGTCAGCTATGGCTAGAAAGGAGTCAGGAACTGGTCCCTAGATGAAGAGGGAAAATTCACCATGTCTAGATATCTGAGTCCCTTGGTCTTTTGTCTGCTTTTCCTTGATGGGCACAGAGTTCATGTAGGATCGAGCAATAAACAGTGCTTCATCAGTAAGTTCTGCGCTGATCTGGCTCAGGAATTCTTCAGAACGGGATAATGAGACTTTCTGGAAAGGAAGTTAGAACTCAGTCTGCAAATTCCCACCCGTCTGTTGTCTTCCAGGCTGCAGGCTCTACGTCTGAGGAATCTGGTATTAGAAGGTTGAGCTGTGTGATATGACTGAAAGGCCCTTGACCCAGAACGCAGTCTGTGAGACTTCAGGACTAAGGATAAAGGCGCGTGGCTTACAGCCAGACTGCCTGCCTTGCTTCCCTTCCCTCTTTCACATTCCCGGTGTTGTTCACCTGCCCTCCACCTAAGGAGGCTGGAGTTTGAGGTGGCCAGCTGTCTTTTGTATCCCCATTCCTGGCAGATGTGGATGCCATCCCCCTGGAACACAAAGTTTGGGTTAAGACTGAGAAACTTCCCCACCACCCCCCCACCACCTCTCCCACAGATACCCCATCTCTCTGGGCCCAGATTTAGTCCATGCCTATAGCTCAAACACCCCACTGTCTCAGCCCTGTCCTTGAAAAAGTTTGGTGTTTTGCCTATAACTTTGAGGGGAAGGGCTCTCAGAGTAACTTCCTCCCCCATTCCCTCCAAAGCCCTTTTTTCTTCTTCTCTGCCAAGGCTCTTCCTAAGGCAAGGCAGCCAACATGCAGCCCCCGACCTGGCTGATGGGTTGATGGGCTACTCGGCGGGAGGGGAGATGGAGAGGTTTAAGAGGACCCTATGATGGGCCTCAGGGGATAGGGAGTTGGGATTGGGGCGGAAGGTTGGAAAGAGGGAGAGCCAGGGAAGAGCTGCTCTGGGTTGCTATAAAGACCTAAATGTTTGCGGAGGTTCTATAGTTCCGTTGCTAGGATACTGAAGGTTCTAGAACTAAAGACATTTTCCTAGCGTGCCACGGCTACTCTCCAGGTTCCTCCTTGGAGGTGGTGACCCCAGCGTTATTTCGAGGCATTTGGGAGATGACGTAGGGTGGAACCTGGGCTCTAATCCTCCCACCACCAGGGCGGCGCTAGAAGCAAGAGTCGCCATCTCTTTCCCGCCTGGGTCCGGGAGAGCGATCGCGGCCGCAGACGTAGCGGGCGGGGAAGCGATGTGGGTTGTACTAAGTCACCCGGTTTCTCGGGGAGGCTCAAATTCGGGACGCCGGAATCTCACCGCCTTACCTTTGCCTCCAGGAGTTTACTCCCTCTGTAAAATAAAAAATGAGGACTCTCTTTCAGGTCTCTTCTGCTTTTCCCTTTCCAGTTCCTTCCTCTGCGGATGGCTCTCAGCTCCCTCCCTCCCTCGGTGCGTTGGTACGAGCCGAACCAAGGGGCGCCGGCAGGAAAAGGAAGCAGGCAGACCTTAAAGGGGCCTCAGCTACTATTTATTTAATTTATTTATTTATATTTAAAACACCGCTCTCTCCTTCCTCCGATGCTGTTAACGTCCCCGACAGAAGAGTAAGCCTAGGGGAGCCGGGCGCAGCCAGCAGCGGAGCCAGCTGCTGGAGACGACAGCTCCTGCCCATCGGAAGGCCAGGGGTGCGTGAGCTGCGCCCAGGGGCGTCCTGCGCCCTGGCGCCCTGCGGGCTCTAATAACTGGGGTTGCGCGGGGGAACTGGGCCCCGGGCTCAGGTGGAGCGGCTGATGTTCCGCGCTGAAAGGTGAGGCCGCGCTGGTGAGACTGGGACAAGTCCTTGCACCTCCAGAGCTGGGCCAGGGCGACAAGGGGAACCGCCAGGATGCCAGAGGAAAATATCTTCCTCTTCGTGCCTAACCTTATCGGTGAGTGCTGTCTGTGGCCCCTACCCTAGCGGAGGGCGAGGGACCGTGAGCTGGCTTCCAGATCACAACCTGTCCCTTTCCCTTCCTGTCCCAAGGTTATGCCCGGATTGTCTTCGCCATCATTTCCTTCTACTTCATGCCCTGCTGCCCCTTCACGGCCTCCTCCTTCTATCTACTCAGTGGACTTCTAGACGCCTTCGATGGACACGCAGCTCGAGCCCTTAATCAAGGTGACAGAACTCTACCACCACCACTTGGGGAACCAACATTCCCCTGCCCTTTTCTTGCTTTCCCAGAACCTCAGAGGTAGATGGCTCATTCCCATCTCTGTAAGAAAACAAAACAGGGGTTTTTGCGATGATTTAAGCCTGGGATTTAAGCTTGCTCTTTAGTACCGACTGTTCACGCCTTATGAAGGGTGTGACTTAACAGTATGACCTAAAGTGGATATAGCCTTGTGAATGGAAGAGGTCTCTCTGGATAAATTCCCTTCGGGTCGGGCATGGTGGCTCTTGCCTGTAATTCCAGCACTGGAAAGGCAGACAGAAAGATTGCTCCAAGTCAAAAGTCCTCTTAGGCTGCATATTGAGTACAAGGTGAGCCAGGGCTACACAGCAAAATCCTGCAAAAATAAAAGTCATTGGGGCTGGAGAGATGGCTCAGAGGATAAATTTAGAAAACTTAACTGCTTGGCTGGGTGGTGGTGGCGGAGCAGGCCTTTAATCCCCAGCTCTCAGTAGGCAGAGGCCTTGTGAGTTCAAGGCCAGCCTGGTCTACAGAGTGAGTTCCAGTTCTGGCTGTTAACACAGAAAACCCTGTCTCAAACAAACAAAAGAAATGTTTACTGCTCTGTTTTTGTTTTTGTTTTGTTGTTGTTGTTTTCTGGCAGACAGAGTTTCTCTGTGACTTTGGAGGCTGTCCTGGAACTGGCTCGTGTAGACCAGGCAGGTCTTGACCTCACAGAGATCCCCCTGCCTCTGCCTCCAGAGTGCTGGGATTAAAGGCGTGCGCCACCAACGCCCAGCTGTTTACTGCTCTTGTACAGGACCTAGGTTTGGTTCCCAGTTCCCACATGGTGGCTTACAAACCACCTATAACTCCAATTCCAGGGGATCCAGTGTTGTCTTCTGGCCTCTGTGGGCACCAGGCACACATGGGATGCACGTACATATGCGTAGACAAACACTCATACCATAAAATAAAAGATAAATAAGCTTTAAAAAAATATAAGTAAATAAAGTAAAATTCCATTCAACAGGTGTTTACTAGGGGGCTACTATGTGCTAGTCACAGACAGTAGGGACTCCAGAAGGGGTTTGAGCAGGGTGGGGGGAAGCAGGTGGTGTTTGGAGCTTTGACTAATGAGTTCTCCAGATCCATCTCTTACACTGCCCCTTAGACTTGGGATCTGCTTGCTTTTCTTTGGGGCCTTGGTTCTGGATTAGAGGAGTTGAAGATAGAGCTTCTCTATTTCTCCAGCAGCTCTCCTGCCACAGCCCCATGCCTTCTCACTTCCTGTCCTCATAATCCCCATCCAACTGGCTTCACCATCTATGACAGCAGCCTGCTTTCCTCCTCAAGTGTAGATGGAAGAAGACATTTTCACACTCCTTTCCTACTCGGCCCCGAGTGGTAGGCCAGATGTGGGCAACCTGTTATGGATCCGCTGTGCCAAACAGTCCCTCCAACTTAATTTTTTCAACTTAATTATTTTTCAGGAACCCGGTTTGGGGCCATGCTTGACATGCTGACGGACCGTTGTTCCACCATGTGTCTCTTGGTCAACCTGGCCCTTCTGTACCCTCGAGCCACCCTTCTCTTCCAGCTCAGCATGAGCTTGGACGTGGCCAGTCACTGGCTGCATCTGCACAGGTCTGCTGTGAAGCTGGGGGTGCTTGCTGATGGGTGGAAGACATTACAGTGGGAGGGCGACTGGGATGACTTCAGGCTCCCTGAGAGAGGTCTTCCTTTTTCTTTCCCCCTTGAGACAGCAGCCCAAGGCTTGCTTAGAATTTAGTGTGTGCCCAGGTAGGCCTCAAATTCATGACAGTCTTCCCACTTCAGCCCCCTGAGTGCTAGAATGATATGCCAGCATGGCCGTACCCTTAGCTGAGGCCACTTTTTAAGTCCCTGGGTGAGTGCCGTGTCTCTGAGTGAACTTGTCATGTTTACAGGTGGCTTAAGCAATTTCTAGCATGGGCCTGGCTGGATATTTTTGGATTCCAAATTCGGGGAGAAGCACGGGTGCTTTATGGTGTGGCATTTAATCCTGAGTTTGCCCCCACCTAGGGAATTAGAAGGCTTTGAACACAATGCAGTTCTCAGCTTCACACCAGCTCCTCCCTACAGTAGAGGCAGTGTCAGTTGGTGGGGTCATGGGGCGGATGTGGTGGCAGTGAAAGCTTAGGAAGTCTCATGATTTTTCTCCCCAAGTTCTGTGGTGAGAGGCAGTGAGAGCCACAAGATGATCGACCTATCTGGGAACCCTGTGCTTCGGATCTACTACACTTCTAGGGTGAGCGCATCTTGCCCCTCCCCTACTTGATCTGAAAATGGGAAGTCTTGCTAGACCCGGTCAGGAGAGAGTGGCTGACACAGCCATCTAAGCAGGAGTAGTCCTTGGGCTGAGGCATGGTGAAGGAGAATTGGTGGGAGGTCTGTGTGAATCCTCCTGGCAGCAGTGAGAATGAGGCTCTGAAGGAGAGAGGACACAGACAGACAGACAGACAGACAGACAGACAGACAGACAGACAGAGACAAAGAAGTGTGCAGTAGGGTGCAGTGTGCAGCCAGCTGAGGGGCATTCTCCTGTGTGTCAGAAGTCCCTGTGGGTTAAAGTGGAGACCTGGCCCTGCATCTTAGACAGTCTTATATTGTACGCAGCCCGCTCTGTTCACCCTGTGTGCTGGAAACGAACTCTTCTACTGCCTGCTTTACCTGTTCAATTTCTCCGAGGGACCACTAGGTAAGAAAAGGGGGTGGGGGTGGGGGTGGGGGTCCACCCTGCCGGCGGGGAGAGAGCCTCATTCTCTACCTCTTCCATCCCCTGCTGAAGTTCTTTGTCTCTGTCCCCGTAGTTGGCTCTGTGGGGCTCTTCCGAATGGGCCTCTGGGTCACAGCTCCCATCGCCCTGCTCAAGTCCATCATTAGTGTCATCCACCTCGTCACAGCTGCACGAAACATGGCTGCTCTGGATGCGGCAGACCGTGCCAGGAAGAAATGACCCTCGCCTGCCCCCAGCTGCCCGCCTGCCCTGGGCATCTACTGTGCCACGTGGCTCCTCTCCTCCTCCTAAGAGGTCCTAGTGTCATGTCCTTCTCTTGTGTTCTCTAACCTGCTGGGATGGGGGGTCGACCTCTGTTTGGTGTTATCACTGTCTTTTTAATCCTGAGGACCAGACCCATGCCTGTGACCCCAAGGACCTGGCCCTGCAAAGCAGGGAGAGTGCTCAGGAGGCCCCACCCGTCCAGCTGGTGCTCTAGGAGGCCTGTCTGAGGATTGGGTGTTGCCACACATCCTGCTGGCTCAGCCCTGGGGTCTGCCCTGGCCTGGCCTGAGATTTTGGGGACATGTGAGGGAGGGAGATGTATGGGTTCCAGGTTTCCCAAAAGGCAGAAGAATCAGACAAATGCCATCGGGCCAAGGAAACCTGGGATACCAGCCCAGGAGGGAAGGGGCCAGGGGCCAACTAGATCCTTCCCTGAGGCAAACTCCTCTGTCCTGCCCTCTTGCTTTGGAAGCCTCCATAATAAAGAGGGGACCTTTGCTCTTTTTGGACTTGTTTGCTTTGAGATATTCTTAGATGAAGCCTAGGGTTGGAAGGAACTGGGTATAAAAGATCCAGCTGGATGCTTTTCCCAAAGAAAGTGGCTGGCTCCTCCCTGTCATTCTAGTGACCTTAGAGAGGCCCTGCTGGCTCTTGAGGTTCACAAGCACTGTCTCTGCCCACCTGCTTTATGTCCCTGGCTGGCCACTTTCACTGTAACCTTGATGTTTTCTTCCCTCACAAGAATGTAAACTTCATGAGAGCAGACGTATGCCTTTCTTGTCTATGCCTAGAGTGAGAACTAGCCTGGAATGTGGTAGCTGCTTAATAAATACTCATGGAAAGATGGATGGTCTTCGAAGAGAATGGTCACCTATAGCATACATCCCCTCACCCCCCACTGTGCTTCTTGGAACTCCTGGTCCTCCTGCTTTGGCCTCTAGGTTCTGGATTTACGATGTTACAT